GTTCTCATACGTCCTTTTTAAAAGCATAACATTTAATTGTGTGTGCCTTTTAATGTTTGTCTTTGTTGGAACATTTTCTTTGTGAATATGAGATTCATGTGTATCCTATGTATAGTAATGGCATATCAAGGATGCCCAGTAAACAGCAAAATAAATGTACAGTGGTATAAGGAACATTGTACTGGTGTTTTGGAAAACATACATTAACTCTTCTAGAAAAGAGAATGTTTTTTATTGTACATTTTTTAGGTATTTTTTTACTTTCAGCCCATGTTTTATTCCCCATTGGTGGTAGAATGTTGACATATTTAGACGTATAGAATTCATAGAGAACATTTCTTTCTTTCTTTGCTTCCAGGGATTTGGAGGAACTATTTAACTGCAAAATAAGACATCTTACCCCAAATGTCTATAGCATTAGGTTAAAAATCATGTATTATCAAAACTGTACTTGAAAATTCAGAAGATGATCTTGGTTTAAGCTGGTCAGCATTTGAGCACTAGTTCAAGTACTTATCTACTTATGTTTGGATGCTACCTTATGCTTAGTAGCTTCCTTATGCTGTGGTAGGCACACAGAGACTACTGAAGGTCATTGGAGTCTTCCCTGATGTGTTCACTTGGAGTGAAATGATGGAGAGAGTCAGCTACAGCACTGATGGTTCTCTAGAAGTAGAACTTAGGAAGTAACTTTGCTTTGTTAAGTTTAAAAGTATATCTGATTAAAAAGCTGACCAATTACAAGTTGAAGGCCAGCCTGGGCTGCAAATTAATCTTTTCTTCCCCTACTTCTTAGTGTATAAACTCTCTAGTCTTCGTTTAATTTTCTCGAATGGTCTAAAAAATTCTGTTACTGGAAATTTGTTTAGGGATTCTTTTTAAGTTCTACACATATTTGGTTAATGTGTTTCTTCTGAGTTTATAGCAATCTCTCTTTGTCTGTTGAGGAAAAATCTGAGTTCTTTTTCATGTAGAAGATTTTCATATTCTAGATTTAACTGGTTATGTCCTGTGTTGCTTAGAGTTTTTCTGTTCCTAACTTTTCTTGTAAACTTGCAGGTGTAACAGTCAAGAGACTTGAGTAGCTTCAGATTGTTTCATAGGTGACTCTGTGTATTTCTTTTCATTCATAACAGGGTGTCAGGATTAATTTTACTTTACTGTGTTCTTATACTGTGTTGGAGCCTGTTAAAACTACTAAAATTAATTTTTTTTGGAAATAAAACTTCTATGCATGTCTCTCTGAATTTGCCAAGGTTCTCTAGGGAAATGGAATGGATAGAATATATGTTATAAAATGATTTATTATTATGTATTGTATATTATAAAAAGATTTATTAGCCCATGATAGGGCTTGTATAGTTCAACAATGACTACCTTTATGCTAGAGAAACTTAGAAGATTGTAACTGCTCAGTCCACAAAGCTGGATGGTTTAGCAGGTTCAGTCCAGTGCAGAAGGCCTGGGATCTCTTTCAGAGTCTCATTATTAGGTCCAGTTCAGAAGGCTGAAGAAGCTAGAATTTGGTGTCGGCTAATAGCAATAGTGATGAACACACTTGTTCAGGGAGAAGTGAAGGTAGGCAGGAACACTGTCCTTTCCTTGGCTCTCTATATAGAGCTACCTACTAGAAGGTACTGCCTACTCTGAGGTTGAATCTTGCCCTGTCTTAGAATTTCATTGCTGTGAAGAAACATCGTGTTCAAGGCAACTCTTATAAAGGGAAATATTTATTTGGGGATGGCTTACAATTTTAGAGGTTTAGTCCATTATCATCATGGCAGGAAGGAAGGCAGTGTGGAGGCAGATATAGTGCTGGAGGAGCTGAGAGTTCCACATCTTCATCTGAAGGCAGCTGGGAGGAGACTGCCCTCTGCAGGCAGTCAGGTGGATGTTCTGATTCCATTCTGGGCAGAGCTTAAGCATAGGAGACTTGAAAGCTCAACCATACAGTGCCATACTTCCTCCAATAAGGTCACACTTACTCCAAAAATGCCACAGCTCCTAATAGTGCCACTCCCTATGGCCAAGTATGGAAACACATGCATCTATAGGGCCAAACCTATTCAAACCACCACACCTCCTTAGCTAATCTTCTCTGGAAACATCCTCACAAATGTGCTAGAAGTGCATCTCTTCAGTGATCACACATTTTACCAAATTGACAATCAAGATTTACCATCACATCATTCTTACATCAGTCTTATTTAGGTATTTATTATTATGTGTAGTATATAGAACAAACTTGGTAGAGTAATGCATACTAAGTAAAATGAACAGTGTATGTGCCACTAGTGGATTCACATACCAGTAACAACCCATTCATGTTAAAGCCACTTACATTACTAGTCTCTAACACACTTTTTGTGGCCCTGACCTTACTGCTCATTTAATTTAATTTAGAGACCTTTCTTCTAGCATGCCTGATATAGACCATAGTATTAAGCTGTTGCATGTTGTGATTTGACAAGCATCAGTATTTAAAAAGTCTGCATTTATTTGTTATGTCTGCATCCCTCCTTATTCAGGTAGCTACAGAGGTATTAATTAATAGGCTTGGTCTTCATTCCATCAGTGGTCCCAGCTTCTTTTCCTAGCCTTTAGCATGTTAATGACATTTGCACCCTCTGTTAATTTGCATACCTGAACACTGGTAACATTTGAAGGAAATACATTTATTGTTTGGGCAGAAGAATTTGTGATTCTGCTTTCTATGCTAGTATTCTCACTGCCCTCTCAATTCAAAGTTCAGTAAGTTGTTCACTTTGACTGTACATTGATTAAGATGATGAATGTTCTTATATCACGAATTCCCAGAGCCTAACTTTTGCAAGGTTGGTTCCATTTGAGAAAAATTAACTTGACAGAAAAGATCAAGCTGATATAATAATGAGATTTTGTATTGAACGTTTTGTGTTCTTTTTAAAACCACGAAGAACCTCAAGTGAAATGTACAGTTTTAAATCTTTGAGGTTTCCTTTTTTTACTTAATCTCCATAATCAAGCCTTTCAGTCAGCTTATGTTACATAGGACACCCAGGCAAATATAGGCAAAGAGAAGGTGAGGAGAAATAACTGAATAATAGAAATTTAAAAACAAACAAACAAACAAACAAACAGACCAACAAATGATTTAGAATGGTGTAGAATCTGAATGTGAAAGTGAGGTTCAGGCATGCCTGCTTATGCCTGCTTAGTCATTAGCATTGCTGTTCAGTTAATTGCCCCTAGACTAAGTAGTGCTTATTTAAATCCCTAAAATTCTGGCAGTTAATAACCTTCTGAAAAGCATTAGCAATACTGAATAAAGAAGGTGAGTGGGCGGCTTCTTAGAGGGTAAAGTAATGGATATGAAAGGAGTTTGCTAAGGAGCAGTTCCCTGTTCCCTGCAGAACCTGGCTCCCGTCTTTATGCTCCTCCTGTAGGTTAGTCTCCTGCTTCCTTCCTTCCCGCTCGTCCCCACTGACAGTCTGCCTCCCAGTATATTTCATTCCTTTGTCATGAGCAGTCTGCACTGACCCTGAAATCACATGTGAACCCAAATCATTTCTGGTGATTTATGGACAGTATTTAGTTTTTAAAATCTTGATTTAGCTATGGGAGGTGGGAAAATCTATTGCCACATAATTATGGCTATTAGGTAATTAACGATAATATAATAAACATGGCTGTACTTATGTACATGCTCGATGATATTTTTCCTATTTCCTGTCCTTACCCAGATATAGATTCCTTTCAACCAAGAATCTTTGATTTACTAGGCTTAAAAAAGATCTTTTATAGTTTAGAAAATTTTTTCAAGTGTGTGATGCCAATTCGGTAATTATGCCATAACTTAAAAAAATATATAGTAGAAATGAATTCACTGAATCGTAGACATTTCCACGCTCTGTGCCATCCATTCTCAGTTCCCCATTAAAGCCCAGAAACAGTATTTATTAGAGATCACCATTAGAAGATGTAGCCAATATAAGCCTTTTCAAATCGTTAGTGATTGTGTCTTTAAGTGCATGTCAGGAAGAGTGCATCCGAGGTATCATGGTCACTGAAATGTGGTAGGATCACAGTGCTTGCTTATTTCAGAGCTACAGCAAATGTAGTAGAAGGTTCTCATGCATTCAGACAGAAGGTAATTCACCTTCCAGTGAAATAGCAGGGTTCACAAAGATACACAGGTTTAGGAAATTTATATGCAATATCAAAATAATTTCATTATAAGACCATAGTTCAAGATGATTGGCACCATTTGCTCTGTAATTATTTGTACATTTAGGATTCCATACATACTACTATAGGAAAACCTGCATTCAGTTTCAAACATCTTGTTTTCTTTCTAGTTGGCAGATCTAGAAGCATTTTGTAGCAACAGTATCTGGTTTTTTAACTTCTCTTTAGAGGGTGCTGGAAAATAACATGTATTACTTTTATTTTAGACAGGAAAGTAAGGCATGGAGAAGACTAGATTATCTCCTCAGTCTACTTCTGCAGGCAGGAGATGTTTTAGTCTTTCTCCTGATATTAGGTGACAGAATCTTTATTAGTTAGCAATGGGAAAATGACCACTACATATGTTATGCTATTGTTATCAATTTTCTTACAGCTATTCTAAAAGTACTTACGAGTATGGAAGCATGTTTTATGGAAAAGGTCACTATCAAATATGGCAACAGCAGTTGTCTGGCACTGGTATTGCTACTCTTCCTTTTAATATATAGGGCAAAGCTACTTGATCTTGATATAACTGCAGAATCTAATTTGAATTTACAGTCCTTTTGATACATTCATTAGTGGCTCAAAGCAACCATCTCTAAACACTGGTCCACAAAACAGTCTATTTTTTTTAGTCTTAATGTACTATGTTTATTCCAAGATGTAAAGATTAAATTAATTTTACATTTTGATTATTTTTGCATAGGAGTCATGGATAATTGTTTGCAAGTAATTAATATATATCACATTATTAAACTTATTTATAAATGTTAATCTTTTTCTTCCCTCAGATTCTGTCAAGTTTTAAGAACCAATGCACTTTATAGCCCATGGAAGAAAAAACACAAATCAAGACATTTTTGGGTTCCAAGCTGCCGAAATATGGAGTGAAATCTGTGAGAAGCACTTTGCAGCCGATGCCAAATGGGGCCACTGTGACTTTCTTAGGAACTTCCAAGAGTAGTAATGTCAAAAGTTACATAAAAAATAATGGCTCTGATTGTTCATTGTCCCATTCATTTAATTGGAGAAAAACAAATAAATATCAACTTGGTTCACAAAATACAGCAGGACTTAATAATACTCAAAGTACACATGATAAACTAATTGATCCTGAACAACATGCTCCTGCTCCAGGAACGCTGGATGGGAATGGGATAAAGGGAGGTTTGAAAAGTGCTTCCTTGTTCACATCCAAGTTAGCAAGACCATCAACCATGTTTGTGTCATCGGCAGAGGAGTTAAGTCAAAAATCTTTTTCTGGACCATCTAATTTGGGTAAATTTACCAAAGGCACATTACTAGGAAGGACTTCATATTCTTCGGTTAATGCAAAGTCACATTTGAATTCGTTTTATGGGAACCGATCCCCTGGTAACATACAGAAGCCAAGAGTGAACTCCTGTGCCAGCAGAAGTAGTTCTGGAGAAAGCTTAGCACAGTCCCCAGACAATGCTAAATCTATTACTTGTGAAAAAATGGTAAGGTCACAAAGTTTTTCACATTCCATTCAGAATCCCTTCCTTCCACCTTCATCTATAACCAGATCACATTCCTTCAACAGAGCTGTAGACCTTACAAAGCCTTATCAGAACCAGCAGCTACCAGTTCGAGTGCCCCTCCGGTCAGGTATGCTAACAAGAAGTTCTCGACAGTCAGAAGTACTCAATGGGAATGAACACTTAGGGTTTGGTTTTAATAGGCCATATGCTGCTGGTGGAAAGAAACTGGCTTTATCAAATGGCCCAGGTATATCGTCCACTTTGGTTTATAGGATGGGTCATCCCTCTCTACTGAAATCTAGCCGACCTCCGTTCTCTGGGTCTATAACAGTTGATAGTAATGAAAATCCACCTGCTGACATGTGCGAAGAGGAAGAAGGTGTGGTTTCAGCAAAGGACAGCTCTACTGGTAAAGACCAAGAACTAATTGAAAATGAAAGTTACCGAAGAGACAATGATCAGACTATGAAGCATGATTCTAAAATTAGGTACCTGAGTGATGATGTGGATGATATTTCGTTGTCATCTTTGTCATCTTCTGATAAAAATGATTTAAGTGAAGATTTCAGCGATGATTTTATAGACTTAGAGGACTCCAACAGAACTAGAATAACTCCTGAGGAAATTACTCTTAAAGAAGAAAAGCATGAGAACGGATCATCAAAGGATGTATTTGATTCTCCTAAGGAAAGTGAACAGATCTTCAGTAAAGCTGATGAATGGATAGACATAAGTGTCTCTGGTAAATATGACTATCCTTAACTTACGTGCTTTCCCTAGTGATTCCAGTAGAGCTACCATTTAGCATTGTCTTTGATAGACTGTTAGATGCTGTTTGGTTGAGAAGCTCAGTGTGGATGAGAGTGCAGCAGGACAGCAACCTTGCAGCTAGCTTTGACCCTGTGTTATTTTCTAGGATAGAATCAGTCAAGCTCTTCATACTTTGCCTTTTGGGGGCTGTCTTATCCATGCTGAGTCCTGCATTATATAGGCCATAGTTTCCAGACAGTTTTCCTCACTCTGCTTGGGAGTAGCTTGCCACTCAACACTAAACCACACCATTCACCATAGCCATCATTGCAGTCTGTTAAGAGTAAAGCTATATCAGACACCAGCCAGGTAACATAAGCATGTTTAGTTGAATGCTTTCTATCCTAGGGAACATTTTTGTTTGGCAGTGCTTATGTGACACTTCACTGAAGCGTTATTTACTTATGTTATTTAGGAGAGAGAGTGCCTATTAAACATTTCTTCTTAGACTTGGCTGTATTGGTACTTACTGCAGGATGAATGGTATTTGTTCATCTACCTGTAAAAAGAAGTCTGGAGGGAGTACACAAAGACATGTCTAGTCAACGGACTGGCTCACTCATAGTGAGGCAATAAACTGTCTTCAGGTATTATAAACTGGAAGATGTCTAGAACAAGTTGTCTTTTAAGGACATATCTGTGAGGTTAAGTAGCCTGCAGAGAGGAAGAGAGCTTCCTTAACAGTGGTTAAATACCTTGAGAAATATTAAAGGAATGTGAAGATATAAAAAATGTTGCAAAGTGAATTTTATTTGTACTACAAAATGTTTCAGAGGCTTATTTTTAAAACTTTGGTCTTTTTTTTTTAAGTTTATTTAGGATTTAGGAAAATGCTACAATTAACGGTTTTTGAACTAAATGCTGTTGTAGTACATGGGATTATTAGAGCTTATATTTTAGAAATGAGAAACGGCTGTGTTTTATAAATTCACATTTTTTCTTTCTTTTAAAATCATTTGAAGACAGGAGTGAATGTACAAAGCATACATCTGGAAACAACTTGATTTCGCCAGATACGGATTACAGAGCTGGGTCTTCATTTGAACTCTCTCCTTCCGATAGCTCTGATGGAACATACATGTGGGATGAAGAGGGCCTGGAACCCATTGGAAGTGTCCATCCTGTTGGCAGCTATGAGTCCTCCGAAATGAACAGCATAGTATGTATGGATTTCTGTACCCTTTTGGAGATCTTATTATATTATATGGACACATGATGGCACTGATAAATATTTTAAAACTAGAAGTCAACTTTCTTAATTAAGAATTGGGAATTCATACCTGTCTATTAATGGCAAAAATGTATAACTAAAACATCAAGAATATATGACATTTGACTACAAACACAAACATACACACATAATTTATTATACATAAAGACATTTGTGCTTACTGTATTGATCAAGTAAAGCTAAGAACATTCACAACATTTTAGTTGCCATATTGAGAAGTGCCACTTGGTGAAGGGATGTCAGAGATGGCACTTAACATGTGTTTTCCGCAGAAAGAGTAATGGATTGATGGACCAGTTGCTCCAGGACCAAGAATTAGCTGTTGACAAACCATGGATAGGCTGTGCTGATGTACTACCATTCTATCTCCAGTTTAGTGTGCCTTTATTACAATGGTAGGTTTTGGCCTTTATTCTTAACAAAGTCCCTTGTAGGTCTGGGTGGCTCTCTAGGACAGCTGCCTCCAGTGACCTAAGCTGCTTTGGCCTTGGCCTTGACCTTGTCTTCGAAGCCCTTATTACTGTGATAGAAGGAGACAGGATTGCCAGTCACACTCTTGCAGTATCTAATTTGGCCTGCAGGTGACACAGGTGCTTTCACTCACAACCTGATAATCAGTTTGTCTGTGGTCTCATGTAAGTACTAAGGAGATAGGAAAATAATCTTCCTGTGTCTGGAAAGAGGGAACTACAAGTGCTACCATGTCTTAGTGCATAGTTCTTTTATAAAACATTACAAGTAGCTTAGATACTGACACACTGATAAAATGCAACTGGTATAGTTAAGATGGCTCAGGGTAATTATTTAGGTTATAAAATAGAAATACTCATAAATCTAATTAGATTATAGATATATAACATTCTAACTGACTTTCAGGCAGTAAAACTTTCTATACCCATATAAGGCTGTGGCATGGATAAAGCAGATATTGTTATGAGGGACATTTAAGTTTCATAGACATTGGTATATGCAATTTATGGAGTATCTTCATCTGATCAGATCAAGGTTACAGTTTAAGACTTGACTGTGTTCTTTATTAATAGGCCTTTGACAAGTATAATTGAAGTGCTTATCAACATTTTGTCCAGTAGATGGTAGCAGTAAGCCACGTTAGAACGATATTTTTAGAGGTCCGTTATCATAACTGACAAAAGGCCCCCTGTACTGAGTTTAGAATATACTTGGATGACCATGGTGTTAAAATCCTTGAGTATATCTCTTGATTAATATGCTTGAGTATGGGAAGCAACCAGTCTTCACACTGTACTTAAGAACAAGATAGCGCTCCTGATTTTTTTAATTTGTTGCCTTTTGAGTTAGTCTTATCTGCCCTGTAAGTATCTATGTAGACAAGACTCAAAGATCTGCTGGCCTCTGCCCCCCTGGTGCTGAGATTAAAGGTGCACACCACCATGACCAGCTTTGATATTACGCCTATCTGATCCAAGGGAAAGACAAGGTTCAAGGAAGGATGGATATTGACAAAAGCATGCTAAGATCCTCTTTGGGAGTTTTGATGGAAGGTCATATTTTTACTTTGAATATTTTCAACTTGCTTTGTTTTCACAACACATCACCTCACTGTTTGGTCTTCAATGGGCTGCTTTGTTTCCACAGATGTATTTGTTGTCCCTCTTTTTTCCTGGATATCAGTATACTTTGCCAATTTTATTTGTATATTTCCCTTCCCTTTACAGTAAAGCTGCTTGCTTAGCACATAATCTATTTAAAAGTTTTTTGTCTCTTTTTTTAAGGAGTTCATTTGTACTTTTTTTTTTGATGTACTTCACTCTGACATCTTACTATTTTTACTTAAATTGTCTTCCTTTTTCTGTTTTCCCACTTTCTTTACCTTTGCTAAAGTAATTTTCATTAGTATATGTAATTTAACTGCAAATGAACTTTAGTTTGGTCCCTTTTCTTGGGCGTTACAACAGTGTTAATTCCAGTCTTGGTTCATATAAGGAAATTTCTCTAGACTGTGGACCAGTTGTCACTGCTGATATAGTTTAGATGAAACTCCTCCCTAGCCTTCCTGCTGTGAATTTAGCTCAGGGTCTTGTGCATACTGTGTTAAGTACTCCAGCACTATGCTGCACCCTGCAGTGAGCCTCTTATTTCCTGTAACTGATACAGCTTTTAGAACAAGACTTTGTTTTTGAAGGAAAAGAGTGTTAAAGACATGGTACAAATTCTTCCCTTGTCAAGGATAAACAGAGCTTTGAGACTGGTACTTTTAAAGTTACTAGCTAGAATCTCAGCTGTTTATGTGCTTGGTAGTATTTGTTGTATATAATTTACATTCAGTGAAGTGCATGAATTTACAACCATCCCAAGGAATTTTGATGGAGTTGTCTAGGTTGTTATGGGGAATATTTCCTCACTTCAGAAAATTCTCTTCTGTTCCTTTCATCGATCCTCTTGTGCCAAAGAAAGGTTACTTCTTACCAAAAGACAGAGGAAGAAATGCTAGAAAGTCTTCCATTACTGTAGATGAATTGTCCTGTTCTTAAGCTGTATATAAATGGAGCCAAGTATATATTATTTTGTGTCTGGCTTTTAGTGAGTTGTAGGCCTTTTTGTATTATTGTCTGTCCATGTGTGTCCTCCTCCATGATGAAGTAAACATTCTGCCACTGAGCTGTATTCCCAGCCCTTGTCCGTTCTTCTTATTGGATTCCATTCCTTTTTGTGAATACAGCCTACTTTATCCCTGTGTTGATAGGCTTTTTAGGTTGTTTGAAGTTTTGGGTTACTTAGAGAATTGCATTGTTGAAAATATTTTGTTGTATTTTTAGTGAAAATTTATTTGTTTCAGTTGGTAAAATAGAAAAGAGATTCCCTTAGTTATAGGCATGCTTAGCTTTATAGATAGTGTTAACAGTTTTCCAAAGTATTGTGTTTATAATTCCCATTGGCAGCACATACCCAATCTGGAATTCTGCTTTCTTGTCTATACTTCAAGCTGTCTGCTTTTTTTGTTTACTATTCTGGTGGGAATATCATGGTAATGTTTTGAGAGAATATTTACTGTCTGTTAGGATAGCTAGCCTCTTTTGTGATATGCCTTTAATTGGTCTTTACAGTATTTGTAAAAATCCTTCATGTTTTTGTTGGTTAGTTTTATGTCAACTTGATACAAACGAGAAGCATTTGGGAAGAGGGACTTTTTTTTTTTTTTTTTTTTTCCTGGGGCACACAGTGCAGAGACACCGAGACTGAGATTTATTTATTATTCTGGCATGCCAGAATCATTCCTCATACAGGGAGGA